AACTTGGCTCAAGTTTACCTTTACCATTTCCTGTGGTTTCCTTTGCCGCTTCCACTGCTCGTGTGTCCCGCCTTACCACACATTGTGCACCGCTTAGACCTGGCCTGGGTGGTTGGAGGGTGCCACTGGTACCTCTGACTTTTTTGCCGCCTCTTGTTTCTGTTTGTGACTGGTGTCTGTCTTGTAACAGTTGTGAGCTTCACCATTGTGCGCAGAAAACATGAGGGGTAATATAAAAAAAATTTAAAGGTTTTTTTTTTTTTTAAGGAGTATTTTCATCTCCCGCCTGTCTTATGTTCTGTTGTACACTTCTCAGACCAGGCTGGTCCGGACAAGCAGATCGGAAGCCCGTCTCCTTAATGAACCAAAGTTGTGTCGATGGGGCCCTAAAACACCTACATTAAAGAAAAGAAAAGGAACCACCCTGTCCAAAAATCGTTGTATTACAGAGTGTAAACAAATCTCGTTATCTGACCTAGATTGCGAGGAATCCTCAGAGAATGCTCTTTTGGTTGGCTGCCTTACATCATGTGACAGAATGACATCACGAAGCATCATCTTAGTTGTGCTTGCAGAAGTGGTGGTTCACAACGACATGCACAGCCTTGCATGCCGTTTTGTGTTGTTTTAGTGAAAGTTTTAAGGTGCTTGCAGCACAAATAGATCATGTAAGCGCCGACAATTAGAAGTGTCTCTGGAGAGCAACGTGCAAAGCAAAAGAGGAGAGGAGGGGATGTGTGATATATAAAAAAATGGGAAGCAAACCTCACTAGAGCTCCCACCAACCATCCATGCACACAGTCTTATTGAAATGTATAGTTTTGCTACGGCTGAGACCAGGAGGGTGAATGTACCATGTTGTATGAGGGTCGGGTTCTAGTCTGTGCTGTATACTTGTGTCTCTCCCAAAATGTGTGCTGTGCTTCCAAAACTCTCTCCTGGGTAGTTGGAGCGCGCCACTGGAAGATCTTGTCTTTCCCCAGTTGTTTCTGTGTGTCTGTCTTCCCCTTTCCCTGCAAAATAGTGCCCTCTATTGTGTCGCTGTGCTTCTTACCCATTATGTAGGCACTCGACGAGGCACGCTGGTGTTTGTTTCGCTGGCCAACATTTAATGATATGCCATGGTGGTGATGAATGTGGTGATTATTTGGGCCCATGTGCGACAGAAAATACTGATTGCAGCGAGCGGAAGAAACCCCTACCCTACACCCTACCTAATTCTGTCGATTTGGGGTTGGGATGGGGAAGCTATGAAACCTCTACAGCAAATAGGTGTGCGTGCGTGTATGTGTGTGTGTATGTGTGTGTGTGTGTGGTATGTCTGTACATGTAGGTGAGGGCGGTGTCTAGAAGACGCCACTGGTAGGTCCGACCTACTTTTCTTTCCTTCCCTGTATTTCTTCTTTCTGGCTATCTTGTTTCAAGCACCAAGCGGTCATGGTTGCGTGGATGTGTTTGTTTGTTCCTCAAACTCAACAACTGAAAACCTCCCACCTCAAACCCCAGGCGAGGCAGCGAGTGTTGGGAGCGCTGCACAAGATCGGCGGCAACGCGGGCGTGTACGGGCGCGCCAAGGAGAGCGGCGAGACGGACGGCATACAGGGAGGCAACATGTCTCAGCGACAGTCCGCCTTCCTGCCCCTCGGTGTGCGCATGTGACTGCTCCGCTCCATCAGGCTAGGAGGTGTTCTGGGACCTCCTCCCTCCCTCCCTCCCTCCCTCTATCCTCCCATCCCCACTCGTGGTTGTTGTGCTGTTGTCCATGTATTGTTGTTTGGCGTCATGTCTACCGGCAGTACATCCCAACCCCCTCCCCCCCTTTCCCAACCCACTCCCCCAACCACCACCACCAGCACGGACGGGCAACAGATGGGGGGGCGGGAGGCGGAGCAGAGACGTTGGTAAACTCAACAAACTCTCCCACTTCTGCCATACCTCTTCCTGCCAAAGTTCCGCATCCGCATTTTTCTCCCCCGTTTATTATATTCTTATTTTTCCAGCTACTACCACCATCACCACCACTCACCTGCCCCACTGCCAACCTATCCACTGTTACTTTTCCCTACCCGACCCCACAAACGTTACTTTTGGCTGGACTGAGCATAACGAGACACCCCCCCCTCCCCCCCTCCAACTTTTCGCCTCACCGTACCACCCTCTGTTCTGCGGGTGCTCCAGATCATACATTTGCCTGTGTCTTGGCTTGCCTTGGCGAGCTGGCTGCGCTTTGCTTGTCTTGGCTTGGCGTAATTTAGGCTGAATTAGACTGGTTCCAAGTTTGGTTGTCTATACTGCAGTGGATGAATGTCTTCGTCAGAGGTGCTGATTCTCCGGATGAATCCGGAAATTCAGAGAAGTTCAGAATTCTGGACAAATCTGGAAGTCCTTATTTCTGGATTTTTCACTTTGTATTATTATAAAAGTTGTCATAATACAGTGTATTAGGTGATATGTTCAATGAACTGTTGAGTTTCTGCGCGTGCTTTTCTACGAATATCCGGGATTATTATTTTTCAGTAGCCATGGTACCTCTGATTCGTGAACTGCAAAACAGGCAGACTTGGTTCGGCTTGGCTAGAATTTGTGGGCTGGTGATGGGCAAGGCTTTTGGCTTTATATGGCTAGGAATTTGTTTCCCGCTCCACCCCCCCCCCCAACCTTCCTTACCCTTGACATTGCCAGAGGGCATGCTGCACTTCATCAACAACTATAATGACGTAGAGAAGGAAGATTTTTTACTTTAATGCTGGGGCGCGGACGCGTTTATTTTACTTTTTGATTTTGGCATTCTTTCTGACCTTTTTTTCTTCATGTTTGTTTTTTTACCAGCCGTTGTTTTGTTTTTCTTGTTTAAAATAAAACAAACAATAAACTCCAAAAAAATGGGGGGGGGGGGGTTGGTTGCAAGAGGAAACAGATTGAAAGACAAATAAAAGTAATGCTAATACATGTTTAGTGAAACCTACCATCGAAACTTGTCAGACTCCTTAATTCTCGTCATGTTTTACCAAGAGATAGCCCCACTTCTCTCTTTTTTTTTCCAAACCCTCCGTGTACCTCTCTCAAATTCAGATCCGTGTCCATGTCCCTCTAACAAGAACTGTCCAGGTCCTGTTTCTCTACCTATCCCATTTACAGAAATTGTGTGGATGAGGATGTAAAACTTTTACAGTTAACAATTTCCACCCCTTTTCGTCTCATAAAAAGAGAGAAAAAACCGGCTGAGTGACTGATGCTCCCGCTCTCTGTTGAACTGTAGTGTGCTCAGATGCCCGCACGGACAGATACATACGTGCCAATAGATGAGCCGTTTGCAGGTCATTCTGTAATATTTGTCCAGTGGTTAGCTGGCCTGTCTCACAATCGTGAGGTTGCGGGTTCGGGGCTTCGAGAGTAAACTCCGCCCGAAGTTGTGTCCCTGGGAAATGCAGTTTACAGGAATTTTCCTCATTTCACCCAGGTGTGATTAGTGTGAAGGGGAACTAGACCATAGACAGTGATAGATCTTTGTCAGTATGTTAGTGTTTAGCACCTGTAAAATGACAACTTGCACTGTATGCTTTCCAGGAAGTAAAGATTGTTTCTGAATGCTATCAGGCCTACTGGAGCAATAATGTAGATTGTGAAGCCCATAGAGCTTGCTGTTGAATGGGAATTTGCGCTGCACAAATGCTCTTATAATATTTTTAAAAATTATTATTATGTAATATTATTCTAAATCGCAGGGAGATGTTTTACTGTAGCTCCAAAACCGGTCAATTTATATCCTCCTCCTTGTCCCACCTCGCCCCTTTTCACTTATTTTTTAACCCACAAATTTTACTAACTTCATATTCATACATTAACAGTTGTCCTAATCGCCACTTTACACTGTTTTATTTTTGAGGGGGGGGGGGGGATGTTGCTATGTTTGTCATATTTATGTTGAAAAACATACTTTGACGTAGTTAAAGTCTGGGACGAGAACATCGCAATTTTTTGGGGTGCAGGGAATGAGAGAGAGAGAGGGAGAGGGAGAGAGAGAGAGAGAGAGAGAGAGAGAGAGGGGGGGGAATAAAAAGAAAGTACATAGATGAGCAAAAAAGGTCAGTGACCACGCCTGGCTTGCTTCAGCATGTCTGTGGCGGTGCATGGTTCTATATACCTGTACTTATATCAGGGTATGCACTTTTATCCTTTTGGTTGAGTTTTTTTTTTCTTTCAGTTTTCACCAAAGGCATGTGGGAATTGTATCATGCAGCTTCTTGTTAATTATCTTATATTAGAAATGCAATTATTATTGGAAGCACGCATGGCACTTTTTATTTATTATACTCGAGACGCATCTGTTCTGACTTGATGTCATCATGTGAAAAGTGTGGCTTAATTAGAAGTCAATGGTATTAAGTTAAAGAAATGACGTTTTTTAAAAATCATAATAAAAAATCACCAAATGTCTTATCCACTCATTTTCAGAAATAAAAGACAAAGACTGACCTTTGTCTGTGGAACTACTCACCAGTGCTTTACTCTTTGAGAGATGGGTGGTTGAAGAGTGCCACTGTTATGTTCCACTTTTTCTTCCTTTTCTCTCAGTTTAGTTTATTCAGTGGCGTCGGTGGCTTAGTGGTTAGGCTGCCGCACCCGTAATCGTGAGGTTGGGGGTTTGGGGGTTCGAGCGTCAGCTTGGTTTGACATTGTGTTGTGTCTTTGGGAAAGGCACTTTAGACAAATTTTCCTTTTGGTTCGGTCCTTACGGAGATGGACGCTAAACTCAAGAGGCCCTGCCTCTTGAAATAACCTAATAGTGTTGATTGGGGTGTTAAACATACCATTTTTTTTTCAGTTTGTTCTCTATCTGTGTGGCGTTTTCCTGGAACTTAAATGTGATCCTTGGTGTAACTTTGTGCTTTTCTTTGCTGAAACAATCAAGTACCGTGTGAAAAGTTTAGCTTTTGACTTAATTTATATTAAGGATAAAGGAGGAGGTCCGGGTAGTTGGGGGTGTGGGGGGGGGGGGGCGCCACTGGTAGGCCCTACTGGGTGTTTTTTACCTTTCCCTCTGTTGTTTCTGTCTGTCTGTCTTACTTTTCCCCAGCTTTAAATGACCATTATTGTGTCAATGTGCTTCTGTTCACTCAAACAAACAAAGGAGAAAACTGTCGTCGAAGGTCAAGGTCCTTTCAACAGCAGAACCCACTCGGATTATGTCTCTGTTGCTGAGTTAATCCTAGCACCCGTCTTGGGTGATACCGATCTAATGTAATTGCGATTTTTTAAGAAACAAGGAACTGAAAAAAATCGGCCACGACTTGAAAAAGAAATGTCAATTTTCTATTTTCTAAATAGTGGTGCTGTGAACACTGATTGAAGCACCAAAATGTTATTTTTATAAGATTACTTATTTGTTACACAATTTAGTATTACTCATGTGAAAAGAAAAGTGGGAAAACTCCCAAACTTTTTTTTTTTCAATTTTAAACCAAGGAGCTCCGCCTGTAAGCTGGGTTTCTGTATTCCATCCAGGCTTCCTTGGCATCAGACAGGGAGGAACAGCCCGCCTCCTAAGTGAAACAGCCCACCTCCTAAGTGAAACAGCCCGCCTCCTAAGTGACCCACACTGTGGTTTACTTTTTGTTTCTCTTTGTTTCTGCACCGGCGTCTGTGGTGTAGCGGTTAGGCGTTTCACTGTCGCATGTAGGAGGCTGGAGTTCGATTCCTGAGGAGACAATTTTGATAGAGTATCTCAGTCTTTTTGCTGAGATGTTGTATCCCTGTCAGCCTGGGTTGTCTGGCAGACGGGGTCGGAAGGCTGCCTCCTAAACAATCTAAATTGTGTGGACTGGGGCGTACAAAGACTTTTGGAAATGTTTGTTTTTGCTTTCATTGCTCGTTTGTTTCTATCAAACATCTGTCGTCCTTTTCTTTTCTCCTTCTTTTCATTTTATGCTACTGTCTAGTATTGCTTGTAATCTACGGTATTCTATGACCCATTGTGGTTGGAAGTACAAAATGAAACTTGAATTTCACGGAACACGAGCTTTTACCGTAATCACTTTGGCCTCAAAGGGGAGATTTCTCAATACCTTTGGCAGTCGTTACAGCTTACAAAAGCCCCCAAAGCCGCGTGTGGGGTTAAAGAGCACCATTGGTAGGTCTTACTTCTTTTCTTTCCATCTGTTGTTTCTGTCTATCTATCTTGTTTCTTCCATGCACTAAATTACCGCCAATGTGCCGATGTGCGTCTCTCTACACAAACTCAAAACCCATAAGTCACAAATCGGAGTTTGTTCCAAACAGCGCACAGACCTGGTGTATTGTTTGCGTCATACAATCCATCTCTCTCTGCCTTCAATGTACGCACATGTCATGCAGCCAAGCTGCACGGCTCAATACACCATCCCGAGCGCTGGGAATGTTGCGCTCTACAAAAGTCTCAACTGGGCAAGCATTTTATTTTGTAGTTGTCATACCAGGTGTAAAATTTGATCGTGATTTCAGATACATTGTATTGTTGGTGTAGAAGGTGCAAGACTGTGAAGTATTTGACATCCCTATCAACACTATTAGGTTATTTAAGAGGTGGTTACTTGGATTGTCTTGAGTAATAATGAAATGATTATAATGTATAATGATATAAATTATAAATAATGAATCGGGGTTTACAATGTAAACAAGTAGTCTTTTTATGCTGCTTTTTTTTTCATTGTTCTTTTTTATTGTTAAGCTTTCATAAGTGTAATACCAACACGAAGGATTTATCACACACGTGACTCCACCTCTCCTCCCTATACCCAGACAGCCCGGTTGACCTTAAATAGGCAGCATCGAAGAGGCCTGAATTTTGTCAATAGGGGTGTGAAACCTTCACAGTAAAATCAATGTCAACTTTTCTTTCAAATTTTAGAATCTTTATAAATTCACTCTATGTTACAGTACATTTTTCGTTGTGTGCGTGTGTGTGTGTGTGTGTGTGTGTGTGTGTGCAGGAAGGGGAGGGTTTTTTTTCAAGATGGGGGGGGGGGGGGGGGAGTGGGGTGTGATTAGGATAGATGCTTTTTACAAAAATTAAATTTTTGTTTTGTTTTTCCTGTTACTTTTTGTTTTCTTCTGACTTTGTCCTTGTTTTTTTGTATTTTTGCAGTCCGCACTTGTTTTGGTCTGTTTGGTCTGGGCTTTTGCATTTAACAAAATATATTTTATTTTTATTTTCAAGATATTTCACTCGTCCACTTTGTTACTACCACCAGTCTTTAAGAAAAAAAGTAAATAACAATGACACAATCCACCGTGTTGGTTAGCCTCACCGTGTAAGTGTGAGGCCCCTTGTGGAAGCATGTGAATATATTATTATATATTCTCGTTGTCCAGTCTTGCACAAAGCTGTTTCTGTACCAAGAACGTCAGTGCTGTCACAGTTCGTCAAAAACAGTTTGTTCAATCATTTTGAAATACGCATATACATTTTCCGAGGGAAAAAACCGTTTAAATTGTAGAAATTTCTTCACTCCCCTACTGCAGGTTTTAATGTAATGTTGATAATAATAATAATAACAATAATAATAACGATAATAATAATGATAGTAATAATAACAATAATAATAATGCGAATGATGATTAAGATTAGTGATATAACAATAATGACAATATTATTGATATCAAAATATTATTATGCTAAAACAGTTCTAAAAATAATAACGGGGAAAGTTTATCATTCCGTGAACATATTTATTACTATTTGACAATAAGTCATTGTGTCAGAGAACTAAATGTTCCTTTTTTACTAAGGTGCTTTTACTACCCCACCCATACAATTTAGATGATGAAGAACGTGGTCTTCTGACCCTGCTTGTCAAGGCCAACCCAGGCTGAGTTCCGAGGTATACGACATCTTAGCAGGAAGACTGAGATATTCAATGAAAACTTTCTCTCCATTCTTTTGGCTAAAACACAGCTGCTGGAAGGAAATTTAAAAAAAAAACAAGTTAAATTATGAAATTTAAAAAAATAAAAATAATAAAAATGAAGTTGAAACAAGCATACTTATGAACTTACTCTACAATTGTTCTGTCGTGGCGTATTTTTGAATATGTTAGGGGTTTTTTTCCCACTTTTTTTTTAGATTCGAAAAGTTCAGGGCCTGGTAAATTATCTAAATTGTGTTGATGGGGACGTAGAAACACCTACTTTTAAAATGAAATGTGAAAAAAATGTTTTAAAGGCAGAGGTGCATACCGTTGATGTTCCTCACATTGTGTAGTCTAGCCACAAGTGGTCGATGAAGTTATTATGTAGAGCTGGGTTCCATGTTGTGCTTGGACTACGCTTGTGCCTCTGTGCTGCTCTTTCTTCAAACAAACAAAAACAAACAATTACTCGCTTTTTTTTTTTTTTCTTTCCCCTTTTTTTCCTCTGCCTTTCTTTTTTGTTGTTGCTGTAACCCTGTACTAATGAGTCATTGTGCTCCTATGTTCTTCTTTTACTAAACAAAGAAGCAAACACTGAAAGAAAGAAAGAAACAAACAAAATCACTAATCTACCAAAAGCTGACAAAACGCCTGTTTTTAATCTTATCAGTTTCGCGAAAAAGAGTTTTTTTAGTTAGCGTAACCATTTAAAAATAGAGTGGTTCCAAAATTTGAATTCTGATTTATTCAAACACTAGTCCGAGTTTCACTTTGATTGTTTCCACACAAGTAGGGTAACTGATCAGGCTTTCGATTTAGCAAGGAAAAAATTATGGCACCGAAATAAAAATAGGTCTTTTGTTAGCTTACAGCAGTTTTGTACTCACGCTAAAAACAAATAAGTAAACATACAAACAGACAAAAAAAATAGCTAATTCATTGTTTGTTTTGTGCTCAAACAAAGAAACAAACAATCAAACAAACAAACAAAATTACTAATTTCTAATTTGTTTTGTGCTCACACAGAAAGAAACAGACAAACAAAATTACTTATGTTTTTCTTTATTTGTACGCACACAAAGAAAGAAAGGAGCCAGCACACAAACAAACCAACACAATGAGTGACGTATTTGTGTGTGTTGTCTCCTCCCTCAGGCGGGTATCTCGGCGGCCCCAGCCCGTGCCGTGTCGGCCGTGAAGGAGATGAACATCCCACAGAAGATCAAGGACATCAAACTGCCGGACCTGCCCAGCATCGGAAACCTCAAGTTCTGAGAGAGTGCACGGACTGTTAGCGTGGTGGTGTGCTTGTTGATGATGGTTTTGGTGTTCTTCTTGTTGTTCTTGTTCTTGTATGAGCAAAAGTGTGGAGCTTTAGTGATGATGGGATGACTAGGTGCGTGTGAGAGAAATAATGTATGAAGAGAGGGTGAAGGTGTGATGGGAGAAAGATTGAAGAGAGACAGAGACGGACGGATAGAGACCAAGAGAAAGAGACTTGCAGATGAAGTGGAAGAGACAGACAGACTCAGACAGAGAGAGAGACAGAGAGAGAGAGACTGAGAGAGAGACTGAGAGAGAGAGACAGAGAGACACAGAGAGAGGGAGAGAGAAATAGAGAGGTTGGGGAAAGGATGGGTAAAGAGAAGGAGAGAGACAGAGAGAGAGAGAGAGACAGAGAGAGAGAGAGAGAGAGAGAGAGAGAGAGAGTAATGTTGGAGAGACGATATTTTTTAAGCAGCTGGTATTGGTTGCATGAAACACTGATCGAAAATCAAACTCTAATGTTGAAAATAGCATTGGAAATGCAAATTAGAAGTCCATTTCATTAACGAATGCCACGGGCCTTTTTCTTGCTGTCCTGTTTGGTCTATGGTAGTAGAACTGTTGACCAGATTCCCAAAGAAATTAATGACGTAAGAAAGACACATAAAGTAAACGACAGAGCAAAACAATTATATCAAGATGCTTCAAGCCTTTTTTCTACAAACTTCTCTATGCTGTCAATTTATGTTTCGAGTAGCAAAATAAAATTTTAAAAATCTTTTTATTTAAATCGTTGCGCACAGTCATGAATTCTATGAAAAAAGGAGTCAAATAAACATTCGTAAGCT